GGAGACAGGGTCTCTGTCACCCAGGTTGTAGTGCAGTGGCATGATCATGGCTCACAGAAGCCTTGACCTCCTGGGCTCAACTGATCCTCCTGCCCCAGCCTCCTTAGTGGCTGGGACTACAGGTGTGCACTAGCACACCAGACTAATTTTTTTATTATTATTTTTAGTAAAGATGGGATCTCACTGTGTTGCCCAGGCTGGTCTCAAATGCCTGGACTCAAGCGATCCATCCACCTCAGCCTCTCAAAGTGCTGCGGTTACTACTGTGTGAGCCACCATCTGGCCCATTGTTTGCACTTTTATTTAAATTGAACCCTCAAAAGGTAAGTTTAGTGGGTTTTTTTGTTGTTTTTTGGTTTTTGTTGGTTTTTGTTTTTTTTTTTTTTTTGAGACTAAGTTTCCGTCTTGTCACCCCAGGCTGGAGTGCAATGGCGCAATCTCAGCTCACCTCAACCTCAGCCTCCTGGGTAGCTGGGATTACAGGCATGTACCACCATGCCCAGCTAATTTTGTATTTTTAGTAGAGATGGAGTTTCTCCATGTTGGTCAGGCTGGTCTAAAACTCCTGACCTCAAGTAATCCGCCCGCCTCAGCCTCCCCGAGTGATGGGATTACAGGCATGAGCCACAGCGCTCGGCCAAGTTTAGTGCTCTTAAGAGGGGATACTATAGACCGGGCACAGTGGCTCACGCCTGTAATCCCAGCACTTTGGGAAGCCGAGGCAGGCAGATCACGAGGCTGGGAGTTTGAGACCAGCCTGGCCAACATGGTGAAGCCCCATCTCTACTAACAATACAAAAATTAGCCAGGTGTGGTGGTGGGCACCTGTAATCCCAGCTACTCAGGAAGCTGAAGCAGGATAATTGCTTGAAACCGGAAGGTAGAGGTTGCAGTGAGCCAAGATCGTGCCACTGCACTCCAGCCTTGGCAAAAAAGTAAGACTCCAATCTCAAAAAAAGAAGAAAAAAAATTATATGTATATATATACACACACACAAACATACACGTCTATGTGTGTATATATATATGTGTATGCGTGTGTGTGTGTGTGTGTGTGTGTGTGTATGGAGAGAGAGAGAGAGAGAGAGAGATATCTTAACCTGATTCCTAAAGATTCACTTCAAGTCCCAGGAAAATGGATAAGTATCTCCACCCCCAGGAATCTTCACTGGAGGAGTCTCCTTACCTGACTAGGGGTGAGACCAGCAATTTCAGGTGTCCCTGTCCCTGGGGCATAGGCAGGATCCAGGGCATCAATATCAAAGCTGATATAAATGGGTTTGCCTCCCATCTGCTGCCTGACTTCCCCCATCAGAGGAACCAGCGACTTCATCCAGCAGTCTTCAGCCAGGACCACCCGGAAGCCCTGCAGAGATGGACTGAGGCTTCTGTCTGGTAGCATTTACAGGGCATTTCCTGTTTGCCAGCCCCAACCTCAGCTCTATCACACTTGACCCTCCACCTCCATGAGGAGGGAACTGTCACCCTCATTTTACAGGTAAGGAAGCAGAGTCAAAGCTGACCTCTGGAGCTGGGATCAGAGAGAAGCTTTGCTAAAGCCAGAGTGGGAAACTCAGCAGCTCACGCTAGCACCTTCTGAACTGCTCTGTCCAGAAGACTGGCCTTGGCACACTCTAGAAGCAAGGGATTTGGGTTTTTCCCCTTGGGGTCTTGTCATACATGTGTACATGAGAGCCATTCTGCCTAGAGGGTATGAGGACCAGAACTAAGAAGGTGACAATTCATCTTGGGTGCGGACCTCCTCCCCTCTTCTTTTTTTTTGTAGATGGAGTCTCACTCTGTCGCCCAGGCTGGAGTGCAGTGGTGCGATCTCGCCTCCCAGGTTCAAGTGATTCTCCTGCCTCAGCCTCCCGAGTAGCTGGGATTACAGGTGCACGCCACCACACCGGGCTAATTTTTGCATTTTTAGTAAAGACAGGGTTTCACCATGTTGGCTAGTCTGGTCTTGAACTCCTGACCTCAGGTGATCCACCCACCTAGGTCTCCCAAAGTGCTGGGATTACAGGCATGAGCCACCATGCCCGGCCTCCTCCCTCTTTTCTAAGTCAGCACCGTCTGAGGGGTTGATGGGTTTCTGCTTGTCTCCCCACCCCAGCAATAGACTTCCTGTGCCCAGTAAGTCAGCCCCCTCACCCTGTTCTCCCTGTGCCCCTGATGACACAAACTCAGCCTCTTGTCCCTGCTTTCTGACTTGATTAGTAAAGCCCCCTGCTGAATCCCTGGTTGCCACTAGTGAGGAAATGGAGAGGAAGGCATTTGGGGGGCAGGGGTGGGGGGCATTCGGTCTGTCACCTGGCTCCGGTTGTATCTGTAGGGATCCAAGGTCATGGAAGAGCCCCGGATGCCAATCTGCACCACCCGCTTACAGTCCAGGAGACCCTCCTCCACACACCGGCGGAAGGGCGTCCCGTGGTAGAGCTTCTCTCCTAGGGCCTTGTCGGCCGTGTCCGTGTGTGCGTCCACATGCAGCAGCCCCACAGGGCCATGCCTGACGACAACAGGGCAGCTCAGAGGCCAACCCTCCCTGCAGGGCCCTAGCACAGTCACCCTTCAGGCCACCAAACTTGGTCACAGTGCACAGCCACAAAGGAGGGGAGACCTGGCATCAGTTTTCTTTTTTTTTTTTTTTTTGAGACGGAACCTCCCTTTGTTGCCCAGGCTGGAGTGCAGTGGCTTGATCTCCACCTCCTGGGTTCAAGCGATTCTCCTGCCTCAGCCTCCCAAGTAGCTGGGAATACAGACAAGTGCCACCATGCCCACAGAATTTTTTTGTATTTTTAGTAGAGACGGGATTTCACCATGTTAGCCAGGCTGGTCTCGATTTCCTGACCTCGTGATCCACCCACCTCAGCCTCCGAAAGTGCTGGAATTACAGGCGTGAGCCACCATGCCCCCCTACTGGCATCAGTTTTCTGCCTTGCAACTGGTTTCTTTCTTCCTGATATCACTTAGCATCTCAGAGGAACAATAAACTCACAGAAGTCAGGCAGGAAACAGACACGTTTTGGGTGCCACCTACACATATCACCCAGAATTTGCTTCATTTACAGACAGGATGAGAATCAAGGGTGGTGGCACAGGCGAGCTTGGCTGAAAGCTTAACTAAACCAAGACACCTTTTCTCCGACCGAGGAAGAGGAAGCTTCAATCCAGCTCTCTCTCCATAACCTCCATCAGCCCCTGCCAGCCACCCAAAATAAACATCTGATCCAAATGGGTGAGAAATAAATGCAGCTTCGAGCAAAGACCTGCACCCACCCACCTGCAACCAGAATGCCACCCACATGTGCTTCCATAGACACATTCTGGAGCTGGCACCCTCCACCCCAGCCCTTCTGTCTCTTTCTCAAACTAGATTAGCCAAAGCTGGCCAATCCCCAGTTGACTTCCACGACTGGCAAATCAGTCTTTTGACTGTCTGGGAAAGGTGCCCTTTCAGGAGGAAACAAGGGCCTCGCAGCAAGCTCCACCGTTGTGCCTGTCAGTGTTTGGCCGTTGAAGCAAAACAGAAACTGACCTTAACTGGGGTTATATATTTCACTAGGGGCTCAACTTCCAAAAACAGGCGAGTTGAAAACGCTGAGCACACATACGAGGACAGATCTAGGGCAAGGGAGGGTGGCCAGAAGTGTTAATAATAAATTGTCTTGGCTTCTAGCTGGTGACTGACAGAGACACCTGGAGCTCAACCTTAATTTTGATCCCCAGAACCCGCTCAGTTGGGAATTTCTTATCATCCCCCATAACCTGAGCCAGCAGCAGTCACCTAACGCCACCTAACAGCAAACGGCTCTTTCCCTAACTTCTGACTTTTGAAATCTTGCTGGGGGCAAGCCATTTGGGACTTACTTTTTTGCCATTGCTTGCAATATGGGATATGTGATTGTGTGATCTCCACCTGCAAAGAGGAAGAAGAAAACGTCTGGAAAGTGAATAGGAGGATTAGAAAAAGTCTTTTTTTTTTTTTTTTTTTGAGATGTAGTTTCATTCTTGTTGCTCAGGCTGGAGTTCAATGGTGTGATCTTTGCTCACTGCAACCTTCACCTCCCAGGTTCAAGCGATTCTTCTGCCTCAGGCTCCCAAATAGCTGGGATTACAGGTGCGTGCCACCACACCTAGGTAATTTTTGTATTTTTAGTAGAGACGGGGTTTCACCATGTTGGTCAGACAGGTCTCGAACACCTGCTCTCAAGTGATCCACCCGCTTCAGCCTCCCAAAGTGTTGGGATTACAGGCGTGAGCCACCACGCCTGGCTACATAATCTTAAAGTAACCCAATTTTCACCCTTTTAGACTAGGGAGCTATAACCACATCTACAATAAGATTTATTTTTTTGAGATGGAGTTTCACTCTTACTGCCCATGCTGGAGTGAAATGGTGTGACCTCGGCTCACCGCAACCTCTGCCTGCTGGGTTCAAGCAATTCTCCTGCCCCAGGCTCCTGACATGCATGCACCACCACGCCCAGCTAATTTTGTATTTTTAGTAGAGATGGGGGTTTCTCCATGTTAGTCAGGCTGGTCTTGAACTCCCAACCTCAGGTGATCTGCCCACCTCAGCCTTCCAAAGTACTGGGATTACAGGCATGAGCCACCGTGGCTGGCCAATAAGATTTTATTGAATGGTGGAATGCTTGATGAGCCTGGGAGGTCAAGTCTGTAGTAAGCTGTGATCGTGCCACTGCACTCCAGCCTAGCTGACAGAGCAAGACACTGTCTCAAAAAAATAAATAACTTGAGCCTAGGAGTTTGAGACCAGCCTAGGCAACATGGCAAGACCCTGTCTTTAAAAAATAAAAATAGGCCAGACACAATGGCTCCCACCTGTAATCCCAACATTTTGGGAGGCTAAGACAAACATCACCTGAGCCCAGGAATTCAAGGTCAGCCTGGGCAACACAGTAAGACTCAGTCTCTGCAAAAAATAAAAACATGAGCCGGGCATGGTGGCAAATGCCTGTAGACCCAGCTACTCAAGAGGCTGGAGTGGGAAGATCGCATGAGCCCAGGGAGGGCAAGGTTGCAGCAAGCCATGACTGTGCCACCGCATTCCAGCCTGGGTGACAGAGTGAGACCCTGTCTTGAAAACAAATAAATAAATAAAAGAAGAAATTAGACAAATTAAGAGGTACTCTAGGTCAATGCCTTTTCAGAGTATTCTAGGAAAATACCTGGAATAGCTCTGTTCAATAGAACCTTCTATGATGATGGGACTGTTGTAACTGCACTGGCCCATATGGTAGCCACTAGCCACGCGTGACCCACGTGACATGCACGTAGCTAATATGACTAAGAAACTGAATATTTTAATTAATTTGAATTTAGCCACATGTGGCTGGTGGCTACCAAATGGGCCAGACCTAGGAAAGTATTCTTTCTGATAATACTAATAGCTAACATTTATTGACGCTTAAGATATGCCATGTATAGGCCGGGCACAGAGGCTCACGCCTGTAATCCCAGCACTTTGGGAGGCCGAGGCAGATGGATCACCTGAGATCAGGAGTTCGAGACCAGCCTGGCCAATATGATGAAACCCCGTCTCTACTAAAAATACAAAGATTAGCCAGTCATGGTGGCATGCATCTGTAATCCCAGCTATTTGGGAGGCTGAGGCAATAGAATCGCTTGAACCTCAGAGGCAGAGGTTGCAGTGAGCTGAGATTACACCATTGCACTCCATCCTGGGCAACAAGAGCGAAACTCCCATCTCAAAAAAATATGCCATGCATGATGCTGCATTTCATATGCACTTTGATTATATGCCCCTCACACCATGCAGTGAAGTAGGTGTTATTACGATCATTCCCGTCCTACAGGTGAAGGCGTGAAGCATCAAGCAAGGTATACGGCAACACTGCTAGGGAGAAATGCAGCTGAGACTTCAAACCACGCCGTCCAGAAACCACACTCCTCCCACTATGCCATGCAGGCTAGGCTCTTTCATTTGGCAAAATTAATTTTGGATATTTAGGAAAAGGTCCCTGTCATTTTAAGTATTTGTGAACAAGGGAAAATGTGAGAGTGGGTGGAGGGTGGGGATGAGGGGAAAGCTGCCGTATAGGTCAATGTGGACTCTGAGCAGGACAGAAACACCCTCTTCGCAGTTCTCCTCCAAGATAAAGTCATTAGAAACATCCTCTTGGCTGGGCGCGGTGGCTCATGCCTGTAATCCCAACACTTTGAAAGGCCAAGGCAGGTGGATCACCTGAGGTCAGGAGTTTAAGACCAGCCTGGCCAACATGGTGAAACCCCCTCTCTACTAAAGATAAAAAATTAGCTGGACATGGTGGTGGACACCTGTAATCCCAGCTACTCAGGAGGCTGAGGCAGGAGAATCACTTGAACCTGGGAGTCGGAGATTGCAGTGAGACAAGATCGTGCCATTGCACTCCAGCCTGAGTGACTAGAGCGAAACTCTGTCTCAAAAAAAAAAAAAAAAAAGAAAAGAAAAGAAAAAAACATCATCTTGGAAATCATTGGAAAGACCCTACTGGCCGCCTTCCTGGGGCTGGAATCAAGGGCTGGGATGAGCTGGGGGAGGCACTTCCAGTGTACAAGATGTAAAGTGAGCCAAAAAACTTAGTAATCAAGGTAAATACTATTTTTTTATTTGAGACAAAGTCTTGCTCTATCGCCCAAGCTGAAATGTGAGGGCACAATCTCATCTCACTGCAACCTTCACCTCCTGGGTTCAAGTGATTCTCCCTCCTCAGCCTCCTGAGTAGCTGGGAGTACAGGTGCACACCACCATGCCTGGGTTTTTTTTTTTTTTTTTTTTTTTTTTTGGTAGAGACGGGGTTTTGCCATGTTGGCCAGTCTGGTCTTGAACTCCTAGCCTCAAGTGATCCACCCTCCTCAGCCTCCCAAAATGCTGGAATTACAGGCATGAGCCACCGTGCCCAGCAGGTAAATATTATTTTAATGTAGTATTTTTGGAAATCAAAAATCAATGCCAGGCTGGGCATGGTGCCTCATGCCTGTAATCCCAGCACTTTGGGAGGCCGAGGTGGTCAGATCGCTTGAAGTCAGGAGTTCAAGTCCAGGCTGGCCAACATAGCAAAAACCTGGCTCTATGAAAAATACAAAAATTAGCCAGGCGGTGCCTATAATCCCAGCTGCTTAGGAGGCTGAGGCAGGAGACTCAATTGAACCCACGAAGATCAAACCACTCCAAGCCTGGGTAACAGTCACACACATACATACACACACACACACACACACACACACACACACACACACACGTGAAATATCCTCTCCCCAGAGATTAAAATAAATGAATTGCAATGTTCTGTTTCCTACTGTCTCCGTATTCTCCGTGGCTTGCGCAGGAGAAGTAGCTGTACTCAAGCCCCTGATAAATAAACCCTGAGTGCAGGGAACCACTTTCTCCCTTGCAGACTGACATTACCCAAGGTCAGGGGAATACAGCCAGCTGCTACAATTTTCTCATAGGCCTCTTGAATTCGCCGGCAGCTGTCCTGAAGGTTGTAAAGATTGACATTCACATCGCCTAGGTCTGCAACCATGAGGGACTGGAAGGGGAGGGCCCCCGTGCTAGGATTGACCGTCCGAAGCATCACTGATTCTTCCCGGATGCGGCGAGGTCCAAATCTGCAGAAGGAAGAATCGTCCTGTCAGTCATCTGCGGAGACTTATGGCTTTACTTAGGCCAGGGCTTCTCAGCCTCAGCCATTTGGGACCAGATGATTCCATGTTGCAATATTGCATAATGGAATTTTTAGCAGCATCACTGGCCTGTACCCACTAGATGCCAGTAGCTCCCTTCCTCCAAGGCGTAACAACCAAAAATGCCTCCAGATATTGCCAAATGTCCCCTGAGTGCAAAACCGCCCCACTTGAGAATCACTGACCTAGGCTATATGTGGAAGGGACTAAATAAGTGTACTAAATGGCATTAGCCAATTTCATGACCTCCCTGAGGCTGTTTCCTAATCTGTAAAATATTTACCTTGCACTGTAGTAAGAATTAAATGAGGTAATCTATGCAAAACACCTTGCATTTAGGAGACATTTAATAAGTGCTGGCTTTCATAATTCAGGTCAGTACAGTCAGATATAGTGTCGCTGAGCTGAATCAGAAATTGCTGATGCTCAATAATTAGGAAAATGGATTTTGCTTCCTCCAACTTGATCCTAGGAAAATTGCCTTCATTTGAGCATTTTTGAGTCAGGTGACATCCAGAGGTTTGGGGAAGGGGCAGCCAGTTTCTGCTCTCAAATGCAATGTCACCTGCCACTGTAAGCTGGGGAGAGGAGAGGAATCCACAGCCGCCATCCCAGCAAGGACCCAGGATGGGGACACGGAGAAGGTTCAGGCTCTAGAATCTCTTCCTGACCAATGATGACACGATGTGGAATGCCGTCCCTATGTGGAGCCCTGGGGGTTGCTTGTTGTGGGTCCAGCGAACTCAACAGTCTCAAACCATAAAGGGCATTTTGGAGCCGGCCACCAACTTCCAACCCGACCCGGAGCCAGCAGGGACGCCTGTCCCTGTGCTTTCCAGACCCGACAGCCATCAAGCCGTCCCTCCACGTGTCCCCGGCCCAGGACCTTCAGGCCTTACCTCGCCCCGGGCCGGTTGGAGGTCCCAGTATCCAGGGGCACCCCGATGAAGGCAGCGTCCAGGCCCTCGGGGTAGGTCTGCACCGGCAGGCGCATCATGGAGCAGACGCCCACCGGCCGGGCCACGAACTCCGAGCTCGGGGGCTGGTTCCGCGGCGCGTCAGAAGCCTGGCGGATCTGGCGATGCCCTGGGTAGCAGAGTCCCGCGGCAGGACGCGCGAACACGCCAGGCCTCGGTTCCCGGGCGCAGTTGGCCGCCAGCAGCCGCAGCATTGCCGCGCGCTCGCCCGAACTCACTGACCAGACCACCAGAGAGGCCGCAGCGATCTGGCTGGTCCAGAGGAGAGGCGAGTGTGCACGTGCCGGAGCCGGAATCTGAGCCGGCTCAAAGGTCAGAGGCGCCCTGGGAACAAAGCGGGGGAAGGGCCCCAGGGACCAGCCGTGCTCTCTCCTCAACCCCTCTGGACTTCAGCCTCTGGCCTCTGATAAGTAGAGCCAGGCTGGAGGTGCCCACTGGCCGGCACTGTGCCAGGGGTGTCTGCGTCCTGCTCCCCACTGTGGCCTTCAGCAGCCTCTTTTCCTATT